TTTTATTATTATTATCGTATGTGGTTGTTTGTCTGTTGTCAATTGTTAAGGAAATGACAAGTAAAGGAAAAAAAAAAAAAAAAAAACAATTCATTTGAAAAAAACATTTAAAAAATAAAAGTGCCTTGGTGCTTGGTGGCGGCTATTATGAAGATTAAATAAAATAAATAAATGGATAAAAAATAATAAAAAATAAATAAAAATAAATAAAAATAAAAAATAAATAAAAATAAATAAATAAATAAAAATAAAAAATTTTGACAGACTATAACGTGTACCAAGCACTTTTCTGCTGAGCTTCTAGATTTTGCTGTCTTCTGAGTCTTAACCTTTATAGACAATACTAGTGTTTCTTTCCTGTTGTAGTGCCTTTACTATACTCAGCTAACCATTTAATTTCAAGGTGTAATGAGGATTTAATTTCTGGTTCTGATGAAGAATTAAATTGACCTGATGACTCGTCCCCTACAGCGCAGCCCCTGCACTGGGTGTACGACCTCCAGAAGCTGCAGGGGATTCTGGCTCAGTGTCCAAACCCTGAGTTCCACCCTGAATCGGCCAACCCGTTCTACAGGAGGCAGACGGGCCAGCAGAGCTGCTACGGAGACCAGGCGTTTGTCCTGCTGGAGTCCTTGGCTGAATGTGGAGGTAGGCTGCTTCGTCTTCACCCACTTCAAACTTTTTTACGGGTGTTGCATGCTATTTGACAAAAAAGTGGTTGATGACAGTAGGTTTTCTTATCAAGTGTGCACTTCCCATCATTGTTGACACTAATTATATTAGACCTGTGACACTTCCAGACGACTCAACAGCAGTTTGATGAGCTCAACATCTGTTCTGAACATGTGGCATACCCATTAGACCCTCACTTAAGAAAATAGCTGAAAGAACTCATCAGTGAACAAATAAATATGTATGGAAAATGATGGTTTATATCTCATTAACCACTTGAACACAATTTCAGCAGTTACATGTTTGTTTAAGTTTTGTATTCTATTTGGCCAGGGCTAAATGTTGATGATCTGAAGCAGCGCACACTGAAATTCTTTGGGCCCGGATCAGAGTACGACACGC